TGCTTAAAGTCGATTTTCTGGGAAACGAATAAAAAAATAACATTCATATTTATACTCAATCGGCCATTTTAAATATATACAAACCACTGAGCGTTATGATTAGACTGATGTTTATGCATTTATGGGAAATTTTAATTCTCAAAAAACTACAGAATACACTTTATATGCAAATTTATTTTGTTATTTAATTATATTTAGGGGTTGAGACGACCCTTTACGAAGCTCCCATTTCATTATTTCTATTAATAAAAATATGAACTTGCATAAAGATTCGCAGTCTTATCACAATAATATAATATCTCGTTAAATTGTTGCATGTAAAAGTTTCGACAGTTTTTGTTATAAATGAAAAGATTGTAATATATTAATTATGTTTAATCAGTTTTGGAATTTCAGTTTGAATTTGGAACCCTATAATGTTGGTTGATGTGTTTAAGAAAATATTATTCCGTTTACACGATTATTATCTTCAAATAAAATAGTTTTAAAACGTCAAGAAAATATTGCGGCGTGTTCGTCGTTGTTAACTTTTTTTATCAAGCGAATCGCGCGAGAAACTTTCAGTATCTCTGTTCTAATCGGAGGCCGGCGCGGGTCAACTGGGAAGCGTTAATAGACGATAAATTGAAATTAATGTCTCTGTTCTTGAGTCTGTCGGGCATCTCTCAATGCTACACGAGCACGAAAAACTCAACGGATTAACGTAAATAGTGATGTCACTTTATTTCTGGCTTTATCTTCAGCTGTTTGCAATTGTCTTCTTGGCAGTGTTTCGAGCAACACTGCCATTCGCGAGATAAGCGTTTGCTAATACGTCTTGCCAATAAAATTTGGATGAATCACACTTAACGGGCATACGTGACATTTTTAGTGGCGAGGATGTAAAAAATTGCACGTAACAAATTTCAAGTGACATTCAGGTGACAATGGAAAAAATTAAAAACATCTTTCAGAACGTAGTTGCCATATTCGGTTCTCTTCGAGAAGAAATTGTGGAAAATTTTCATTTTGCTAACTGTTTACGATTTCCACTCCGGGATTTGATAAAAATTGTTTCAATATTTATCGTGTATGTGAATATAACAAGTATTTAATGTAGTCGACTGGAAATTACGTGAATTCAGACGATCGTAATCTGACGTACATCGACTATGCTTGTGAGGATTATTATAAGTTCCTTACTAGCGAAACATGCGAATTGTACGTTTTTAACGAAATTTAAATCAGCAAATATTTCATCACTTTGTTCAACTATTCAAGTTTCTTAAGATTGGTACCGCTGCAAGAAAACTGCTCGACTTTCCAACAGGTTTATCGTTTGAGAAATGGAAAGAAACGAATTACTTTCGACTATACAGTTAGAACGATCAATAACAAAGCGTAACAAAAATACGGCAGCGGAAAAGGCGAATTGGATCACCGTTGGCTGCGCCATAGAAGGGGAAATAGTTTAGTATTTTGTATAAAACTACAATTTTTCCGACTTTGAACTTTAATACATTAAATTTTCGATATACTCGTGATTTTCAGAATCATGAAATCTTAAAGAACCATCTTTATTATTCATTTTACATCACATTCTATTAATGTTCTTAACTAAGTATTTGTATAAGTAAATAATTAACGTGTTGTTATTAAATTACTGACCATGCTTAAACCGATACCCATCTTCGATAATGACATAGTGACATCGATCAATGATGTAAAATTATGTTAAAAATGATGTAATGCACAGTTATTTTCAAACTGATAAACAATTGCACGATAAGGTACTTCAGCGATATTGTCAAGCATACACTTGTAACAACATTTATCTTTCAACAGTAGCATTAATTTAAACACCTTCTGGTAAAAATATGTTATTTCCAACAAATGAAAGCTTTTATAGTTTATGTTAGATATGCTATTAATATGATCGAATAGCAGATAATATACTTATATTTTGTATGTATTGTTTAATGCTTATAACGATCTCACCGAGAGACTGTGATATAATGACTAAAAACAGAAATACATAATGAGATTACGTATCTCCGATATAAAATATTAATGTTCATATTAAACCATGTTTTTTACAAACAGTGACTCTCTGTAGAGTTCTTCGCGCCAAGAATTATAGTTAACGTGCTAATGATTAATTATTACTGCGGGTAACAAAAAGCCTGTTTAGTGGTTTCGCTATTTTTAAGTGTGTAATTCCATTCTGGGAGCAGTGAAAGTAACAGATTCGTACCTTTAAACATAGCGTTATCAAACGTTATTTCAGGCACGGAAACAGAGCACAAAAGATATCTATTGTGCTAGAAAAATTAATTCAAATTAAATCGAATTCTGTTTGTATTAAAAAACAAACGAGGCTATACAAGTGAACAGTATTATGTTAAGTAAAATTAATATTATTTAGTGTTTCAGAAATGCAATGTGCTACTTTTCGATCTAATTACCATTTCATAGTAAAATCTAAATAGATAAATTACAGAAACTGTGGCAAATGATGCTCATTTTATCGAATACACAATTCCACTCTTCTAAATACAATTCTATGAACACTTTCTAGCGTGTTCTGTTGCTTTAATTTATCAAACGGTAAACTAATTTTTTCCTTAATTGCTCGACACATGTAATTTGTTCGGAATAGAGAATTAATTTAATACCGAGCGGAGTTAGGTCAGGAGAGCGTGGTGGCCAAGCTATTATTCCACCGTGATCAATCTAACCAGATAGATACGACGGTTCATAACGAGAAAAGTAAGATAGTAGGACTGATATAAACCAATTCGTGACACTGGAGCGTACATAAAGACAGGCAGAGGCAGTAACTTGCAGCGATATACGTTAGGTTGAGACATAGTCAGTGCACGCATACTGGGCAAACATTTAAAGTCATCTTTCCATAGAAAATAAGATCTTGAAAAACCGATCACGCATCTGACGATGATAAATTTATGACTTTAGTTGAAATTCATGCTGAAATATTATCAGTTCATGATCAATAAAAATAAACATCGGAACTGTTCAATTAAATTTTGATGCACCTCCGTTTCAGAGTAACTTAAATTGGATATAAGAATAACAGCGATCGAAAGTGACTTTCATTGATGTATCTTAATTCGATCGGCCCGAACTTGATAGTAAAATGTCAGACATCGTATGGACGAAGAAAGTTTTTCAATGAAAAATGTAACAATGAAGCTTCTCGACAAATGTCACAAAGTAGAGTTCGCTCAGAGACTTGTAACGATTAAATTCTATACTTTTTAGTCGGGTCTCAGAAAGTCTGTTAATACAAAATTTACACAATTTTTAATGTACACATATTTTTAACATCAGTAAGGAGTGGACAGATTATCACAATATCAGTTATTGACCTGGTAAACTCAATATTTGTATTACTAAGCTCGTTTCAGAAAGAGTTTACCGACCTGTGGTTCAGCAGACAACGATCTTAAGATTACTAAACACGATGTCAAGACACTTTCAAGTGATCATAATATTAATGAAATGAAGTGGATGGCTCAATCCACTGACCTTAACCTTATCGAAATGTTATGGATCGACGTGGAAAAGTATGTAAAGCTACAAAACCGGATAATATAGAACAATTATACATCTTGGTAGAAGAAGCACGAACGTCAATACCTGTGAACAGGTGTATCGAATTAATTTCATGCTACGGAGATGTGCTATCGATGCACGCGAGAACAGCTTAAATTTCCAGTATTAATACGATAAAATTGCAAAAATAAACAAAATTTTCAGAAAAGCTGTTTATAAATTTTCTATACTCGAATTTTCTTGCTAATTTGTAAGATGAGGTTCAGATTTTCTGAAAATCTACATTTTTCAGCTAATTAAGCTCATGAATATCATTATAAATCTCGGTGCTTTCAAAGCGGAGGAAAAAATATATTAAATATAGTTTTAAGCACAAAAAGTGCCTTTGTTTATGAGGCTCTCAAGAAAGTTTGGAAACCACTAACGTTTTATCGAGACGAAAAGACTTTCCGTACAAGCAGTATTGGGTCAGACGTTGTAGTCAGCCTTCCTACGGTAATATTATTCGACGCTGTCCACATTCTACTGACTAGTGTCTCATTCCCCTTAAGCCTCAACAGTTAAATCTGTCTTCCTGCAATATATTCTATTCCACTGCTTCCTAAACTTTATATTTTTTACATATATTCGTATATGTAAACATTTTTAAAAATTATTAGCTAGGCTATAATGTTCAATACAGAATATCTATGGTTGCAAAAAATGATTGGAACAGCTGCGAGCAATTTTTCATCTACATACGTTTTAAAAAGACTCGTGGCTTTTTCTATTCCACTGCTTCCCAAACTTTATATTTTTTATATATACTCGTATATGTAAACATTCTAAAAAATGATTAGCTAGGCTATAATGTTCAATACAGAATATCTATGGTTGCAAAAATTGCTTGGAACAGCTGCGTGCAATTTCTGATCTACATACGTTTTAAAAAGACTCGTGGCTTTATGTTTGTTCTGGGCATCATTAATGGAAACGTTTTGTTGAAATAAGCAGGTAGTCTCCGAGTCGTGGAAACTTTTTTGCCAAGTTTTTCCGTCGATTTATTGCAAATTTTTTCTCCCGCGACACACCCACAATTTAGCCACGACACGCCAGCGTGCCCCGTCACACCTATTGGCCAGCACTCTGCTATTCCGCCGCGTTATCCTTCGTGGATTTTATTTTTCATCATTTTCTTCCATTACGGTAATACGCCTGTTGTATAATTACGCGCAACGTAGGCGTCCCCGACGTCTCTAGCACCAACTTTGTTCCCGAAGTTGCCGAAGAGACGGGACCAGCTTTATCGTCGCGTCCAAGAAACGGGTATCCGGTCGCCGGTGGCAGGAAGAACGAGCTGCTCGTACGTCTGCGCTCACATTTATGGGACGCGCTGTACTCGTACTTGACTCGAGCAGTAAAACTGGCAGCGTGGGTTAGACAGTGTGCAGAACCGGGAACCGTGTCAGTCCGCGCCGAGTCCTCCGTATGGGAGCTGCGCTCTCTTGGTGTGTTAAACGGGGGTTGATTATCGCGCCAGTATCGCCAAAAAACTAAACAATAATCTCCAGATGCGCAGAAGAGGAGCGATAGCTCGTCAAACGAAAATCAGAGATTCAGTGAGTTAAGATTTGTGTGTGACAAGAAAGCAATCGTCGGCTCCGCAGCTGCTCGTTCGCCACGTTCAGTCCAGGTAGGCATCGTGAACGTTTCTTTCATTTTCGTCGCACCGATGTACCAAAAATCACACGGGGAACGATTACAACTCGATTTAATTTTATATGAAAGGGACCTTCGAGTTTTCGCCCTTTCGAATTCACCCCTGGCAGTCTCAAGAGTTTGAAGTTTCAGCAAAGTGGCTCGTAGTCAAGATTGTATGCTGATTTTAGAATTATGATATATGTAGGAATATTATACAATGTTCGTGTAAAATTACCAGAGTACGATTTCTTAATTCGCCGAAATGAAGATGAGACTGGCGTTGCAAGATTCTGTCAGTAAATAATTTTACACGATATACTATAGAAATAAAAATTCGTAAAATTTCGATATTTAGACTTTCTATACAATTGTTCTCGAATAATACTAGAGATATGTTTGGAACCGTTGATCCGATGAAGTTTCAGTACATTTCTCAATACATACATATATCCAAAGTCTGTTAAACGTCGATATTTCTTTCAATAAAATGCAAATTCTCAGCTCCAGCTGCAAACATGCGGCTCCAAACGATCACGACTGTTCCATCAAAGTTTTTTTTTTCATTTGCTTTTCTCCATACGTAAATTTACTCTCAGGTAGATAAGGTTTTTCCAGGAAGATAAATTATTCCTCGGGCATATTTCACGGAAAATAATTAATTTCTTATTTGTATAGCCAACGTACGATTTCTTTTGAGTCTCCGAGCCTCAAAACGTAAACTACTTTTTCTTAAAACAACTCATATTTTTAGACCGAACTCTTGTTTAAGTACCTTCGTGTTTGCACAGCAAATTTTAGTGCATTTATCTGAGGATTCTTATTCCACATTTATCATGCTTATTTTCGCTCTATTATAAAAGCAATTTTCTTGAAATGTTTTTATAATATCTTATGCTATAGAATGACTTTTATTCGCCATGCGTGCAGTTACTTGTTGACTTTTATCGTCTTTCAAACAAAAGTTTACCAAATAGCTCTCTTTCATTGAAGTTTGCTTTTTCCTTGTGTCTATTACATTATACTTCCATAAACTTGTACTAAAGACGCGTTATTCCGCAAAATTTTTCCAGTAAACCGTTACAATATCTAGAACAAAGTTTCTTCGTGGACGATATTTACTATGACCGGCCTTTCGTTCCAGTTTTGCTTGGATTTTTGTAGTTAATTCAAACATTTTTTTATCTAATTTAACTATTTTGCATATGTTTCGTTCACGTGTCGTAATTTCAAAATTATCATACAGACGATTTTAACTGTTAGTTATAATACAATATATACTTGTAAACTATCCCTTTTCTTATCGAAACAATCTTTAACAAAGATCAAAATTAAATTTGAACCTAACAATTTAGAATGTAACTCACGACACTCACACGTAATAATAATCAAATAAAAATTCTGTAGGGCCAAATATGGAAACAGAACACAAGACACGAATATAATAAATTGCAAAGCGGTAGATGTGTTATGAATAAAACAAGAATGTATAGGACATAGTAAGACCCAATATGATATTCAACAGGTATGGTCAAACAGAAATATTGCTCGTCGAAAATATTCCTCAGAAAAATAAGTCCAATTAATAAACTGTTCTTCCCCGAAGAAACAAAGTAAATGTATCAAATGTGTTCATTTTGCTGAATACGTCGCTTCTGGCGATTACTTATCTAGTTGTTTTGCCTTCAATACTTATTTGTAGACAAGCGATAGCATCGTTTCGATATTAAACGACGGTGCACATCAACAAATGTTCGCTTCTTTACTGAAAGACACAGATCGTTAAATTCAATGTTTACTTTCGAAGCGAAACGGGAGACGACAAATATCTCCCGTACAATAATTTCGAACGCTTTATCGACTGCCATTAAAAACGCTTTCTAAATCAGCGGACTTGTTTATACGCTCTAAAAATCGCTTCCTAGGCGATAAATTCTCAGAACCGAACGACTGATTATCGTCACGGATTTACGAAGAATTGGAACAGGACATACCCGGCAACTGACAGTTCGACGATCCATATTCAAGATTGTAAACATATATATCAAGAACGACGTCGATGTAAATTGTTGCGGTGAACGAGGACGTACTCTCGAAAATGGTGTAATAGAATGTCAGCGATGTTATGAAATAATAACTCGACGTTAACGGTCGCCGCAATATTACTGGGTATCCCCATTAATACGATCGAGAAGTGGATGATTTTTATTTGAAAATATAAAAAGAATTGTGCAATCTTTCGTTATCGAGCACAACATTGAAAATCTGTCACTGTATTGATTCTACTTAGCGTGACATACAATGTGGATCTACGTAATTAAGATTTACAAATAACAAGTAGAACGTTCTACTTACTTATCGATGATATTTTCTACGTTTCATTTCATTGAACTAGGTATTACAGATATTAATAAGGTTATACTCTACAAAGTTATACTCGAGGTTTTGTTCTTAATTACTGAAAATTATACCACAAAATGTTACGTTATTTTTCTCATTTATTTCTGTATAAATCATTTTCTGCTATATTACGACTGGGGTATCCTGTCCATTTGACATCCTACGAATTAAAATGATTCCTCGTAAACGCCTCGATTATATTCTCGATGATCGTCGATCGTGCGTGTTTCCGCGTGCCGATTAAGATACGGTAAAAAAAAAAACCACAAGGATATTCTAATGTATGACTTTGAAGGCGTCCCCGCCTTCGGAGGCGTGTGTCGGTACCAGTCGCATTAGGAAACGGGATTGGTTGCAACAGGATTCTATTTGCAAACCGGTAATCACGATCCTCGTCAATCTTTTTCCATTCTCGAACCGCTTTACCGTTTTTTTTTTTCTTCCATTCCGGTTAAGTGGCGTGCATAAATACCGACGTTCTTGCGCGCCGTGGAACACGTAGCATAATTAGCCAACGTAATCTGCTACTCCGTTGCAACGTACGCACGTGGATCATCCTCGAGTCTCTCGATCGCGTGTTAAAGATCAGGAATACCCCGCGAACGTGACGCATTCCCTGTGATTTACCCGACTACTGTTCAAATTTAAAAAATCATCCTGAGACTCATTCATCAGAAATACGCGTCATCGTATTTTTGTACACGTCAAGATTTTTATTTCTCATGGTACTTGGAAGCATATTATCGATAAGTGACGAGAACGTTCTATCCTTCGACTACAGTTGTGAAAAAGTACGTCAGGGTTCTGATATTTATGTAACATCGACTATTTTTTAGGAATTATTTTATTATTTGTTATTATGCTGTTTATGCAACTTTTAACGCAGATAGAATGTTGACAAATATTAGACATTTTTTTCCGAGTAATTCAAGTGGTAAAAACTACCCTTAAATTTGTGACAGAAATAGCTATTTAAACATATAAAATTATATATTGATCATTCATATAATAGGTTATATCATTTACAATTTGTTTGAATACTGTTTGGAAACTAAATAGAGAGAGTGATAGAAACAAGTCTTAAATGTGGACAAAGTTTAGGTTTCGACTAGCTGAAGTATGGTCTAATTAAAAATTCCAGTAAAGTCTTGTACTTACTTTCTCCTGCGATAATTGATCGAGAAATCATGCAATTATCCATCTTAATACTATACCATGGACTTCTCCCACAACTTTGAGAACAGTTATTCACTCCTAAACGTATTAAATAATGTTTCAGAATATTTTATAAATCTTTCTATTCTTAACTGTGCAAACTCCTGTTACAGTATTTCAAACCACAAAATGCAGTTTCATGAATTACCTTACAAGACTGATGTAGTTTGTACTGAACTACACGTTCCCATAATTATGACATTTCTATTTTAGTCTTTGAGAAATTTAACTAGACAGTTTAAAATTTCATCCAGTGTGTTCGTATAATAGTTAAATGATGTTTATTTTTAGTGTAAAAACACAGCTGCCGAAAATATTCTTTCTTACTGAGAGCTTTTTCTAAATAAGGTTAATTATTGAAAAAATAAATAACATATTACATCACATTGCTACAATTGGAAGCAAGAAACATGATGTATCGCAAGGGGAATGTGAACAGTATTGACTAATTCTTACTGGTCAGACACTACAACGTCTGACACAATACGATTCCCAACTACTTCCAGAGACCAACTTCCCAGCGTCGGACAGTAAATTTCTGAAATTCGCATTGTCATTGATACTTGAACGCTTATCAACATTCGACTGTGTGCGAGAAATAGATTTAGAAACCCGCCTTGTTTGCAAACTCAAACGCGAAAGTCACGCGACGTATTTACTCGTTCCTGTTTGGCGGAACTAGATTTCAAACACGTGTAACAAGAATTATCGTCCCGTCGTAACACAAAACCACGGAAAATGTGATAGACTAACAATTTATCAGTGTCGATTACTTCCATAATTAGTCGATACAAAAAAAATTCGCGTACCAAGCGAATTATTATAATTCTTCGAAGCAATGAAAACGAACTTCGCAACAAAAAGTGTAATTCGAGAATACTTTTTTCACGGTTCGTAATTTGGAAAATTGCCTTTCGCGATCGAATTATTCTGTATTATTTTACATTTATCATTGATCGGTTGAACAAGCATAGCAAGTTTGCTCTCGTTATTAGCAGCTAATTATAGGTACAGCACGCTTGGAGGCACGAACCGGTCAAATTGCTAAATGAAATAAGACTCTGTATCATAATTTAATTAAGTTGACAGCTTGTGTCGTCGTCGAGCGTGGGATGGCAAGTTGTAAATCATGTTTTTCTTGCGGTCGATTAGAATGAACAAGGTCTTTAACAACAGCGTAGCGTTAACGATCTAACGTTGTCGTTATTATTTAACCGCGACTTAACAACGAAAGAATATTCATACGCGCCTATGCGCGAGACAATTTAGTGGATTAGAAATTTAAATTGGCGCTTTTTTGCGCTAGGAATATCTTATCTTCTGGTGGAAGATTTCTCAGACAGCACTTGATTTCCACAGAGATTTGTTTATTCGGTCGAC